CAAAATTCAAAAATCAGATTAAAATTAATCGCTTAAATATGGAGATTACAAACCAGAAGAGCGACACATCAGACGTTTCTGTAATGAGTTGATCCAAATCATCGACCATTCGTGTGTGAAATATAATGGTATTCAATAGAACGGCTAAATCTTTGTGTTCAAACAAATGCATTGGATATCGATTGACACTACAATACGCCTGAAGTCTAAACCAATCGAGTCGTAAGCCTCTAAAGTCAAAGATTTCGTTACTCTCGACCTGTTTGACCGACAGATTGGAGATCACTTGATGGGCAGACTCTAAGATAATAGAGTCCTCTTCGGGCATCATTGACACGTTTTGCATGATTTGGTTCAGCGCTATGGCGTCATAACCGGTCAGGTATTGTACATAATATCGTTGTATCACTTGATTATATTTTCTCACTAAAGCTCTCAGCTCTTCCATATGAAACAGAAGTTCTGGCAATTGTCTGTCAATCAGATCATCGGATTGTGATTTTGTCTTTCCTTGTCTAACGGGCGGATTATCGCAATGTCTCAAAAGCCAATAAACCTCATCCCTGGCGAACGATAGGCCCATAAACACAAGCAAAGCCTTTGGGCCCAAGAGCCCGGGCTGGTCCGTCAAGATTAGACCCAACTCTTTGAGCGCTGTTCTCAAAAACTTTCGCCTTTCTCTATGAATGTGTCCGCTATTCGTATGCAAAACAATAGTCACTTGTAATTACAAATTCATTAATTAAAACCTCAATCGCATACCTGTGCTGAAGGACCCAATTATACGCGTCTTTCACTTCGGACACCCTTTTGTTATAACCCTTATGTGATTCAAAATATTGCTGAATGAATGTGTGTGTGTGAAGCACTTCATCCCTAAACAAAGTGGTAACCCATCCGCAGTGCAGAGCTTTCGTGAACAAGTCCTGAGTTATCGCTTGATTCAGGTATTGATGAATCAGAAGAAAGCCGTCTATCGTTGTCACAAACGAATAGTTAGTTCTCAAGTTTATGTCAACAAATGGTAAACAATACTCACAAATAATGTATCGCTCCATAGTATCGATGGACAGGTATTCACACTGAATGATGTCAGTTTGCGCCGGATTAAGCATTTGCGACGGATTCGCCACAAGACTCAGTAACTGACACTTACGCCACTCATCGGCCGGAAGGTTACGCATCGGAAATACTTTGTGAAGAGATGTGAGCGCCTGACACAACAGCTTCGAGTGCGGTATAAACTCTTCGGACAACTTCTTGAGCGGCGGATCGTAATCGACAATCAATTGTCCCAAACGGGGAAAACTGTTGTCCGAGTGCTGATGAATCATCTCATGGGCCGTATTGAAGAGACCCAACACCGCCTTCCGGTCCTCCACTCGTGACAGAAGTATCATTAGTGAGACATACGTCACGATTAGATCCAAATAGGCTTTTGTCATATCGAAGTTAAATTCCTGTCAAACAATAACGAATTATTCAGTAAAATGCTTAACCAAATGGTGATAATGAAGACATACGATGTCGAGCTGAAGCTGACACGCGTCCATAGTTGTCAACAGTTCGCTCACGTGGTCTTTGAAGTCCAAGAGGTCGACAAACGTGTAATAATATAACGACAATGACTTCATTATGTCTTGTCTTATGTTAAACACGGCTCCCAATTGGCTCTGAAATGCAATTAATTACAAATTATCAATCAATCGGCGAATCAATGAAATGTCTTTAAATGTCATTTACATTATTGCTTCTGATGTCAGTGTTTGGGAATCTTCTGATGACATGTTTTATGGCCGACTCTAACGTCTTGTCCGACAGAAACGATGGCTTGGATTTAGAGTCGCCGCAAGCCTTGACCACAAAAAAATGGGACAACTGTCAGATACATTCCTCCGGAGTTATGGTTACAAACCTTCTTAATGTTGTAAATTCTGGTCAACATTCCTATCCCTCTGTCGTTAAGGACTGTCAGCTTCTCCGCCAACTTCTGCTGAGACGGAACCAATGGCCTCATTGTCTGCTTCGGCGGTCTGTTTTGGCACTCAATGTAAATATCACTTCAATGTCACTGCGAAGACAACAACCAAAACAATACCACTCTTTGCCCAACCCTTCACTCTATTATCTGATCCGCCAATAGATGTCTTACTTTTTCATTGAAACAATAAATTACGTGAACTTATCATTTGATTGCTTGTATTGATTGACACAACGATTGGTAGAAATGTTTGAAAACCCTTTGAATCATAATTTCTGAACACTTGACGTGAAGTCAAACCAAAAGTGTGTTTATATTTACTATGATTTGAAAGTTTGTGTTATTTTGAGACCAATTGTCTGATCACTGATTGTGACCACAAAATGAATGATTTATTTATTAATCGTTTCTATTATTTAATGAACAAAACAATGAAATATTATTGCTTCTGATGTCAGTGTTTGGGAATCTTCTGATGACATGTTTTATGGCCGACTCTAACGTCTTGTCCGACAGAAACGATGGCTTGGATTTAGAGTCGCCGCAAGCCTTGACCACAAAAAAAGATGGGACAACTGTCAGATACATTCCTCCGGAGTTATGGTTACAAACCTTCTTAATGTTGTAAATTCTGGTCAACATTCCTATCCCTCTGTCGTTAAGGACTGTCAGCTTCTCCGCCAACTTCTGTTGGGACGGAACCAATGGCCTCATTGTCTGCTTCGGCGGTCTGTTTTGGCACTCAATGTAAATATCACTTCAATGTCACTGCGAAGACAACACCAAAACAATACCACTCTTTGCCCAACCCTTCACTCTATTATCTGATCCGCCAATAGATGTCATACTTTTTCATTCAAACAATAAATTACGTGAACTTATCATTTGATTGCTTGTATTGATTGACACAACGATTGGTAGAAATGTTTGAAAACCCTTTGAATCATAATTTATTAACACTTGATGTGAAGTCAAACCAAAAGTGTGTTTACATTTATATTTACTATGATTTGAAAGTTTGTGTTATTTTGAGACCAATTGTCTGATCACTGATTGTGACCACAAAATGAATGATTTATTTATTAATCGTTTCTATTATTTAATGAACAAAACAATGAAAAGAAACCATTTATTGAAATGTAAAGAAATGGCATTAAATGCACAAAACATGCGATCACTCAACACATCCAAAGACGGTCGCAATGGTGTCAATAAAAGCGGCAAAACGTGCGAAACGCCTGTAATCACTAAATTTAGTGATACTCTGAGGAATGTCACCAAAACTGTGACCAAATACCCGGCGAAGTCATGCCATTCAGCCATCACTACATTCCAGACACTGCGCGAAGAGATACTGAATGAGATGAAAGACCCGCTCTATGCGGGCGTCCAATGGAAGCGATTCCCCGAATTGAATGACCACTTGAAGGGTCACCGAAGCGGCGAACTGTCGATCTTCACGGGACCCACCGGTTCCGGAAAGACCACATTCATGTCGGAGTACTCACTGGATCTGTGCAGTCAAGGCGTCAGCACATTGTGGGGCAGTTTTGAGGTGAAGAATGTGAGGTTAGCCAAAATGATGATCACTCAGATGGCGGGCAAATGTGTGGCTAAGAATCTGCACGAGTTTGACGTGTGGGCCGACCGGATGGAGACATTGCCCCTCTATTTCATGACATTTCACGGCCAGGAGTCCATCGATAAGGTGTTGTCGGCCATGAGTTACTCCGTGGAGGCGTATGGCGTGCGACACGTGATCATTGATAACATTCAGTTCATGTTAGGTATGTCTCCGAACCAGAAGTTTGACCGCTATTGGCAACAGGATCTGGTCATCGATCAGTTCCGCAAATTTGCCACAAGAAACGACTGTCACATCACTCTTGTTATGCATCCGCGCAAAGAGGAGGACATGAATGAGTTGAACAACAATTCAATCTTCGGCGGCGCCAAAGCCACGCAAGAGGCCGACAATGTGTTGATTTTGCAAAATAAATGGCTCTCGATATACAAGTGTAACAAATATATACAAATTACTAAAAATCGTTTCGACGGCGATATCGGCAAAGTTCCGCTTTGGTTCGACAAGGATTCGCTCAGTTATTCACCAATCAGTCGACGACTCACTCATTCAGACACTAATTCTCAAGTGAATCAGGAATTGAATGAATTTAAATCATTAGAAAATATGAGTGGAAATCATGTTTTGAGTGCCGATGAAAGACAATTAGATTTGGAGACAATTAGGCGTCAAATCGATGAATCCGATGACATTAGACTTCAATAGACGTCTCTCTGAATGCCATAATATTATTGTTAATTTGTTTGTTTTGTTTGAACATTAAATCAATGCCAGTAATGATTTGTATAAAACTATTTTTCTATGTGTAGAATGAGGTGAATATGTCATTCAATAGTACATTCAAAGCCTGTTATTATATGACTGAGAATTTAATGATTGCATGAATTGTTTGCAACGTTTCGATGATTACATCATTAGTCTGTACTCTATATACCGTACTTGAAGTCAAACAAGTTTTTGTTCGTTAAGTCAATAGAAAGCGAAAGTCATTTTC